ATACATACCCAGCTATCTCTCTATCACCCACACGTATCTAGCTATCTCTCTCTACCACCAACACACATCTAACTATCTCTCTACCACCTACACGTATCTAGCTATCTCTCTCTACCATCCACAAGTATCTAGCTATCTCTCTACTTCCCATACATACCCAGCTATCTCTCTATCACCCACACGCATCTAGCTATCTCTCTCTACCACCCACACGAATCTAACTATCTCTCTACCACCTACACGTATCTAGCTATCTCTCTCTACCATCGACACGTATTTAGCTATCTCTCTCTAACATCCACAAGTATCTAGCTATCTCTCTACCGCCCATACATACCCAGCTATCTCTCGATCACCAACACGTATCTAGCTATCTTTCACTACCATCCACAAGTATCTAGCTATCTCTCTACCGCCCATACGTCATACCCAGCTATCTCTCTATCACCCACAAGTATCTAGCTATCTCTCTCTACCATCCACAAGTATCTAGCTATCTCTCTACCGCCCATACATACCCAGCTATCTCTCTATCACCCACACGTATCTAGCTATCTCTCACTACCACCCACACGTATCCAGATACATCTCCATCATTACCGGAACATGTCACCAGTGAATAAAACCAACAAGTCATTTCACTCTCCACACCCATCCTATGCCATCGCGATACGCGATATAATACTGATAACAATAGAGACGTCGATGAAACATTGTGCAGTAATTTTTTTAATCGCTTTCTTACGGTTGACTTTCATGAGCGCGTATGTCATCTCTGTCTGTGTCTACACACGTGTTTCTTTTATAGGATCAACAATGCGACAACGTAATTACCAGCCAAACGTCGTCATCAGGAGACGTGACGTGGATCGTCTCTATTGTCTCCGTTGTTTCGTTGAGGATCCGACTGGAATTCTGAAGCTGCTGCTGTTGATGGCGACGATGATGATGATGCTGCTGATTTTCATGATCGACCTCCCCTGGAAGCGCTGTAATTGTATTATGGCATTTATAGACGTTGTAGGAAATCAACTTGGATGGGCACATTATATAAGATGAAGACACGCCTAAATCAACACAAGATTTAAATGACAACGAATACCAGCGTGGGCATTGGGATAGGGGAGGTGTCGGGGCAGATACGACGAAAGAAGTAGGCGTGGGAGAAAGAGAGACAGAGAGAAGAGAGACAGATAGAAGGAGAGGACGGTGTAAGAAAGAAAGAGAAGATATAGAAAGGGGGTCTGAGAGATAGAGGGGGAAACGTAGGAGCGGGAGACAGGGTGAGCTATAGAGCTAGAGAGAGAGAGTGAAGAGATAGAGAGAGCGAGAGAGAGCGAAGGAGAGATAGATGGGGGCGAGACAGAGAGAAGGAGAGAGAGAGAGAGATGGGAAAAATAACTAGAGAGAGAGATAGAGATCTAAAGATAAACGCAAAGAGAGAGAGAGAAAGAGAGAGGGGGAAAGAGTGAGAAAGAGACAACAAATGAGAGACAGATAGTATATATATATATATATATAGTATTAGATAGTATATATAGAGAGAGAGAAGAAGAGAGAGGAGAGAGAAGAGAGAGAGAGCGGCAGAAAGGACGCGATTCGCAAGGTTGGAGAGAGAGAGAGAGAGCGAGCGCGAGCGTGAGCGAGAAAAGAAATGTATAAACAAATATTAAATAGTATATGTTACAGTAGAGAGAGAGAGAGAGAGAGGAGAGTAGTGAGAGAAGTAGAGATTGAGGGGAGGCGCGCGGGGAGGAAGAGAGCAGAGAGAGTGGGAGAGACAAAGAAGAGATCGTGGGAAAATCATTAGCGCCAAGTAACTGCAGATAATCTTCGGTAACACGAGCGCTCTAATGCGATTAGAAAGCGACAGTTTCAAGAACTCCGGGGAGTTGCTTGCGTCACGGTGATGCGCTAGATCCAGCAGCATGCGCGATGTACGCGCCAACGCACTTCAGGGTATTTCAATACGGCAGCAATAAAAATATACGCGACTGACTAGCGAAGCTGACGTATGTATTAACCATTAACACGCTGTTTTATATCGTGTCGCATTACGCGGTTTAACATTGAGATACGTATATATACATCGTATATACATATTAATCAAGAGCATATAAGATAGAAGAGTGACAAGCGTAAATGCTGAAACCTGTTGTAGGATTAGTGCCGAATAATATAACTTCCCCGTGCTATTTTGAGATGCTTGCAGTATTATTTTTTTTTTTTTTTTTATTGACAGCATGTCTACCTTCTTCATATAAAAAAGACCGCATGTCTTACGATGGCACATACGTCTGTAGATAAGAGCGTGAAAATCTGTAATTCGCTGAATCACACTAGCGATTATCAATAACGGGACTCTCGGTCGAAGTGTGCGAAGGGTGCTTCGTCGCCGCTGTGAGAGCGCATAGCTGGGCTGACTCACGTCACTATCGCAGAGTTACTATAGGCATGTGCAGCCGTGAGGTGCGTGAGGTGGGGAGAGTGGGGTCATCACTATTGCAAATCAATAACAGACTCATTTTATTCCATTCAATCATTGACGAAACACGCGAGTTTACAGAAGTTATAACACGTGTGTGGAAGGACAGTGTCGTAACGGGACTGATCTGAGTCAGATTTCGCGAAAAATACCAATTTCACGCTCATTACGTCAGCGTATGGCATCGTAGGACACGTGGTATATATGAACATGTAGGACAGCTGATCAAATAACTTGCAAATAATTGTCAACATGAATCGCGGAAAGTTATTAATATTGATTAATATGCAGAGAGCGTGAGACC